AAATATTAAATTAAATTCAATGAGTTTATTATTTATGATGGTAGTCATTATAAGTAATTATACTATAGGGCTGTTGAATGCTTGATTCTGATTGGTTGAGAACGTTCTAAGGTGTGCAATTATTTTCAGGGAAACGCACGGCTAAAGTAGTTCCAGGCAGGCTAAAGTAGCTCCGCTTCGCGTCGTGACCGCATTACCACCTCGGGTGTGCATTATTTTTCTAATAATTCAACGGCCTGTCGTCAATTATTCCTTACATAATACATATACACATTTGAAGGCCACATGCTGTTTATAAAAAAAGATCAAGTTAAACATAAGCAACCCTCTACGCACACCTAGTAATAATAATAATAATAATAATTATTATTATTATTATTATTATTACATTGAGACATAGCTAAATCTACTGTACAACAGTAGCCCAATATATTTCTGTCAATTTCTTAGTTAAACCAAACCTTTATTTTGACAGGTTGCAGTGAAGACCTTTGAGTTTCTGTGGGTGTATGATGTTATGATTATATAATGTTTTTTTTCTCAAATGAAAATGTAAAATGCTCATGAAGTGACTCAGACCCAGAGTGAAAACACAGCGAACGTCACGCGTGCTTCAGTGGTGTGTGTCTGTGTGTGTGGTAAATGAAACCGCTCGTCTGCGCCATTCGATTTGATTTGATTTGATTTGATTTTTATTTAATTATATCAAGAAGCCTAAAACATAAAAAACAAAAGGCATCAAAATACAATCGAGGATTAAAACACAATAAAGTCCAGGACTTATTTCCATTGTGGTCCTCCTTATTTTATTCACACAGAGATGCGCAGAACATCCAGGATTCATATTTAAATAGTCTTTTGTGATCAGTTAGTTTGGAGCCCTGCACTTAGAAAAACACGGAAATGACTGAAAGCAGCCGCCTGTCAGAGGGTACCGAATATATCCGGTAGCCTACTCTGTACTACCTGTAGCTGCTTCACTGTAAAGCTGCTGTGAAACAATCTGTATTGTAAAAAGCGCTATATAAATGAAGGTGACTTGACTTGACTACCGGTACAGAAATGCTGGTATCGTCATATTTTCAAAATTTCAGTACCGACTTGGTACCGAAGTAACGGTAGCCTACTTTCTTTAGATGACAGTCATATAACTAGTACTTTTGATGTCTTTACTAAAAGTTAGACTTGTGTTTTATTATATGCCATAATCTTTTAAAAACATGTATGCCCATCTGTATGCTGGCATTGAGTTTGATGGCTTTGGAAAGGATGAAGATGGTTTGGGTTTGGGGGCTAGGGGTCTGGCTGAACTCCAGAATGGGTTTATTGCTTTCATATTCCCTTTAGAAATTCTTGAGGTTTGAAACTCTTCCCAAAGCCTGGAGCTAATTTAGTTTTTAGGCTTTTCCTTCTAATTCCTCGAGACTAATTACAGCCCTATTCCCGCAATTAAATCGATAAACTCCTCTGTGCTTAGTTGGGGTTGCCAAAAGAAGCCCCCTCTCCTCTCCTCTCCTCTCCTCTCCTCTCCTCTCCTCTCCTCTCCTCTCCTCTCCTCTCCTCTCCTCTCCTCTCCTCTCCTCTCCTCTCCTCTCCTCTCCTCTCCTCTCCTCTCCTCTCCTCTCCTCTCCTCTCTTTTTAAAGGAATATTCCAAATTTATCTCAATCAACAGCACTTGCAACTGTTTAATGCAAAAAAAGTCCTTTATTTTCTTTAGATAAAGTGATGAAAGCAGATATGAGACACTTAAAATAAAATTAAATGGAGCCAAGAAGTAGGTGAACATATATTTCAGAAATATTTCAGTAGTAGGCTATAGCCACATAATGTAAATAATGCGTGTGTTAACATGAATTTAATCTGAATAAGTGTATCTAAAGTTAAAAATGCATTATAATATTCACATAATCCTTGTTACATCTGAAATTGTCTGTCTGTCGTGGTTTAATGCATTATACTTTCTAAAGGTGTATTATAATGTATTATAACTGTGATTACAATTATTCATGAGACCATTAAATGCATTATAAGGTGCATTACAAGGCATAATTAATGTATTAAAAATACTTTTATAATGCACTATGCATAAAGGCTTTAAGTAAAGTGTTAGCCAGTTGTTTTCAAAATTGTATTTTTTTTTTTTTTTTTTTCAATATTAGAGTTCTTTTTTTTACTGAATTTTTATCAAATAAATGCAGCCTTGGCTAGCATAAGAGACTTACCGACCCCAGACTTTTTAATGATAGTGTATTTCAACTTTTGAATGATAATGTATTTCACCCCGCCCCCCACACACACACATTTTTGGTATCAATTGAATTGAACTTGTCAAACCCTCAATATTCATTTAAAAGAAAAACTAAACAGTTTTACACACAGTCTACAATACAGAGGACCCTAAAAATAACCTTCAACCGAGACCAAAATTCTTCGACGGCCTCTATGCCTTTCTCATGTTTTTTCTTTTTCTTTTTGAAATTTATCACTCCTGGCAAGGATGGGGCGTTTGCCTGGGGAGCTGTCCAGAGGTCAAGCAGATGTTCCTCATGGTGCTGTTTCGTGCACCAGGACAGATCTCAGCTCATTCAGCACGTCATATACCTCTCTTTATCTCTCCTTCTCCCTCACTCCACCTCTTCTGTCTGTCACCGCACAATAGTACACAGGTCTCTGGCTGTACTTCAGATTGTCTTTCTGGCTCTCTGCGCAGCTCGTATGGGGTCCATCAAAGCTGTGGTGTGATATAATGGTTTAATTGGGTTTGCCAGCACAGAGCCCACTGAGAGTAGAAAGAACACCTTTGGGAGAGTGTGAGAGAGAAATGAATGGAAAAAAAACCTCACAAGCATGGAAATGTAATGAGTCTGGGCTGTCTAGACCGTGTGCTTGGCTGTGTGGAGCTGTACGGCGAGTTTTTCAACATATGTGAATGTTTATCCCTCTGAAATGGAGCATGTGGACCCAGGGTCCATTGGGAGCCAAAAGGGAGGACTTTCAGAGCAAAGCCCGCCCAAGTCAAGCAAGACGACATGCAGAGAAACTCACAACGCAATGCTTTATACATTTGCAAGAGCGTACACACATTTGCCAGCAATCAAATAAAACTTAAACACATTTTCTTATTTTTCATATTTACTTTTTCCTTACCTCTTGGCCATGTTACTTTAATATTTTGCTCACATTAAAGCTTGCTTTAACTCTCTGTAATTTCTATAATTTGCAACTCATTCTTTAAACATAGCATTTGAAGGAAATCAAGCACATAACACGTATTTAGAGTATCCTGGATGAAAGGTTAGCTGGCAGAAGCTGACAAGACTCCTCAGAGTTGCTTTGACAGCTGTGAAGTGTACATACTGTGTTATTCCTCCTGTCCACTACAAGACTAACACTACTCCAATTATGTTTGCATGTAGAATAATAATCTGTTTATAATCAGAATGATAGCTCAATCACAATGAAAAGTTCTACAATAAAAACACCAGAGAAATTGTGATTTGGATTTGAAATGAAACTTTTATGTTATTTGAAGAAGCATATCCGGAAGGTGCATATTTGAAAATAATTTGTTACACTAAATAATGATTGGTTTGTAACCCTTTAAATTTAACTGGTTTCAACTTGCATATATGCACAAGGCAGTGTGTTGCTTTGCTGAATTACTAAGCACTTTTTATTGTGTTTTTATAAACATAAAACACATATTATTGGGGTAGAGGGGCTCTTATTGTATTTTCTGCAAGAGCCATGTTTTCTTTAATAAAATCCATTGCACAAAAAAACCATTCCATGTTATCCTGAATCTGTAAATTCCAAAACTGTGAATTCCAGCAGGACATCTCTCTCCCACCAATCTTTGCTACACACTTTTATCCGATCTTCACATGCACAGATATTGTATGCGGAATACATGTGATGCAGATCTGTACATATAAACAGCATGTTCGCAATCTGCGATCAGTTTTAATTTATTCACATAGACAAAAGGTCTGTGCATGTAAACAATCACTGTCTGCTAAACATTCAACTTATAATGACTTGCACTTAAAATGAAACTGACTGTATGCTATACTTTTTCAAGTTACATTATCCTAACTTTATTAATGCTAACCATTTGAAACCACAGAATGCTAAATTGTTGGCATATTAATATTATATTAATATTTTGGCAAATGTACTATTATGGGTTCAAGATGCACACTCTGCTGAGTCTGCATACTGCATGACAAAGTATTTGATCCCCTTAAAGTCGGACTTTGATGGTCTGCATTGCTTTTGCATGTGTGAAAGTGTGTACATATGTTGTCTATAAGGCTAATCTCAGCCGTTAGCTCTCTATTCTACCTCGTGCCCATCTCCTCTGATGCACAGCAGTGTGTTATATAAACAGTGGAAAGCCGACACCTTATTGTGTTAGAGGACCATGTGTAAAAATATGGTGCACAGCACACATTCAAAGAGGCTTTCAGAAAACCATCAGGACAGAGTGTTAAAGATGTGTTTTGGCAAAGATCGTGTGGAAGGTTAAATTTTGGAAAGGCCTGATGTGATACACTTTTTCCTTTCCTCTCGTAATCTGTAGTCTTGCCCTTAAACTTTATTACCTCATATTTTCTCCCTGTGAAATGGGATGTGCATATCAATACAGCTCTGAGTTTTATGGGCCTGTCTTCATCGACAGAGAGATCTTTGTTTCTTGAACTGTCAAGGGGGGAAAAACGCTCCACCAGTTAACAAAAGGGGTTTGTATTGTACATCAGGGTAGCTCCCACATAAAAAAAAATCTGCCAATTTCTCTTTGTAATACGATTGTTATCGTGTTGACAAAAGCCACAATTACTAGTCAAAGTGATTGGGAACTGGAGTTATCAAACCTGGAACTACTGCGTACTTGTTTAGTTATTAAAAAAATGAATCCATCAACCAATCAGAATTAAGAATTTAACAACACTGTGATAGAAAATGCATTAACTGTTTTATTTTGTTGATCTTGTCTTAGGTTGCAGAGGGATCTGAAGTGCATTTTGAGGCAGGAAATTTCTCTGAGTCATGTGAGGTGAAGATGGAAAACCTTCCTCATGGCAATGAACACCTGCTTTCCTGGGCCCATCAACGCTACCGTGCTGTTACCTCTTTCAGCGAGCTCAAGATGACCCATGAAATCTACATCAAGGTTGGAGAGGGTATGTATCTCTGAGCATGCTCAGTTTTACCTATCCCTCAAAATCTTTTTTTTTTTAATAACTGTTATTAATATTTTTTCCTGATCACCTGACACTTTTTTAAATCAGTATGTTTTGTTAAAAAAAAAAAAGTACTTAGTTTAAGTTTATTTGGCCTAAAATAAATGTGCCATTATCTCTGATCTTCAATCATGGCCCTGCACATGCTAATTCACTCTCAATGGTGCCTATTGACAGTGTTTAGTTACTGGACCCATGGGTAATAAAGCAAATCCCAGTGAAGCCACCAGTCATTCTAATTTCTACTGGGCAACATTCGGTTTCATTTAAATACAACATGGCGGAATCTGTGGGCTTTCTCTGTCTTTCGTTCGTAATCAGTTGATTTGCTTGCATGTCAGGCTCATAAGCAGCCGCGAGATAGAGAATTGATGGAAAGGCCAAGTAAACATACGGGAAGAGTTTCAGATGAAAGCCCTGACTGCCAGCTTGTTCGTACGGGCCCTTTGCCAAATCTGAAGCCTTTCACAACAGTTCTTTTTAAAAAGGGAAGGATGAGGGAGAAAGAGCAAACCTAGAGGAAAAAGGGAATGAGCAAAAGGAAAGTTTGGCAGGGAGGGTATAGAAGAAGCATAAAAGAAAATAGAGCCCAAAACAGAAAGTCCAAATTTATAGCACTACCAGGAAGCCTTGCAAGATTCTGCTAAGAAAGTATCTTAGCCATCTGCCCAATGACATGAGCCGTAGGGCGGGAAATTGGCTTATTCTCAACGGAAACGGTTAGGGGGATTTAACTTGAAACCGACGCTTGGACTTTGATATGATGTTTGAGTCAGACAGGGCTGCCACATTCAAATAGTTTGTTGTTTACTCGTTGAGAGCATGAAACAGGGAAAGCAGAAACAGATACTTGCAAATGCGTGCCATTAGCGCAGCAAGCCGCAGGGATCGTTTAAAGAAAGAAGAAAAGGACAGATCCTGCTGTGTGTTTCACCCAGGGCTCCATCGTGTTTCCCCCGCTGAGTTCTAAGACCAAACCAGCAACACGTCTGACTTCAGTATCTATCAGCTGTCAGGTTGCCCGGTTAAACTGCTGGTGCTCATGTTTCAGTCCGTAAAAGAACACAAGATTCCAGCACTGGAAGAAAGTAATGACTGCATCATTCAAAGTACGCTTTCCAGTCTCCAAGCTTGTTTCAGTCAGTCCCGTAAAACATTTGGCCCAGCGGTGTTTGAGTTTGAGGTTTGGCAGTGACTCAAAAGGCTGTGTTTACCTCTACAGGAGAGTTCTGGCCTTCTACTCTATCTCAACCCTTTGTAGCTCCGCATGAGAGCGGACATGCTTCCGATCTGTTTGCTGTAGAGAACAGGCAACCCTCTTTCCCCCAGCACCTCAAAGAGCCAGGAAGAGCAGACAGTAAGAGATGCCAGCCTTTCATGAGGAGTTGACACTCATCACACTTGCGCTTTGTCCAAAAACTTAATGGCCAAATAAGGAAGCATCTGTCTTCTGTTTCTCTGGGGCAAAGAGAAGAGCCGTTATCTCTTTTGTGGAGGAGCAAAGAAAACAGTGTTCAAGAGTGGAGAGGATTTTTTTAGGAAGTAATTAATCTGCAACAGGACAGATCAGGTCAGGCTGTGTTTTTGATTGAATGATGATGGTTTTATTTTATATAAGTGATTAAAGATTATACATTTCCAAGATTATAAACATCGACTGATAACCATGTCCTATTGGTTGGTCAGAAGTGTCTCCCTACTTTGACAGTTCCCATTTTTACTGACAGGTTTGTCAATGAATGCTGATTTTTTTGGAGGGGAATTTTGAGTAAATGGTGTGTACAACTAATTTGCCATCATTTAATTATATTTTACACTACTGTTCAAAAGTTTGGGGCCAGTAAGTAATTTTTTTTTTAAGAAATTAATACTTTTATTCAACAAGGATGTGTTAAATTGATCAAGAGTGACGGAAAAGAGTGTTACATTGTTACAAATTTTGTTTAATTTTTTTTATCAAAGTTTGCACAAATATATTACGCATTCAAAACTGTTTTCAAACTTGATAATAAGAAAAGTTTCCTGAGCACCAAATTCAGTATATTAGAATTAGAATCATGTGACACTGAAGACTAGAGTAATGCCTGCTTAAAATGAGCTTTTAAATTTTAAAATATAATTATATAGAAAATTATTATTTTAAATTGGAAATGTAATGCTGAAGCAGTGATGAAGCGGGGAGAGAATCCACATGCAAGAACTACTTTATTAACAAAACAAAACAAGGAATCCAGGACAAACGGGGAAACTCAGGACAGGAGCATATTGCAGCAAACAACAACTGACCAACCACAAGAGAAACACAAGGGCAATTATTACACAGCCTAACAAGGTAACAAGGGGGCATGGTAAATTGTCAGGGGAACACATGAGGGTAACCAAGGGAACTAATAAGACACCTGGGTAGACTAATCAACATGGAAAGACTACAACAAACTACAAAACATGGCACAAGACAGGAAATAACACAAAAGTCCTCACACAAGACAGGGGAACACAGGCTGGGATCATGACAGTAATATTTTCCTATATTACTGTTTTATTGTATTTTTGATCAAATAAATGCAGCCTTGGTGAGTATAAGAGGCTTTCCAAATCATTCAAAAATCTTGGGCCACTCCTAAAAAATGTTCAACTCCAGTCTGCTTCCATTACTGCTCATGTACAGTGATAGTCAGTGACAGTGAAATCAAGTGATACAAACAGCGAAACGTTCCAGCGCTTTTATACTAAATATAAGATTACAGGACTGTAACTAAATGTTGGTTAATTATTTGTCAGTCAAACTTTTCTATGTCCTCAAAGTTTCTATCAGCCCTTGGCCTAAACATTTCTCATATTTGTTTCAGACCCCGTCTTCTCCGAGACCTGTAAGATTGATAACAAGTTCCTGTCTCTGAACTACCTGGCCAGCTACGTCCAGCCCCAGCCATCCACAGGGTGTGTTCTCTCAGGTCCTGATCATGACCAGGAGGTCCACATCATTGAGCTCCAGGCACCAAACTCCAGCAGGTGAGGAGAAGACTGTTGTACTGTTGTACAAGTCAAGGATTAAGATATTTCCGTAAAAGTTTCTGTAATACAGTGGTAAAATACAGTCATATTCACATTATTTAATTATATTATTTATTTATATAATTTTCTTTTTAAAAGACAGCTTTTTAGAGCTTGTACAGCAAAATTAAGAGCAAAGAATGTGCATTATTACGAAGACTTGCTCTGCTAAACCCTAAGAGTGTATGATAGTAAAACGTTCTGCTGCAAGACAAAGGTGAACCCCATAAGAGATCTAGACAGATGGTGCTGGGGAGGAGGGGGGGCTATAGACATAGTGTGCAGAACTGAGCTCCATTTAGTTGGACTGCAAAATAAAAGCGAGTGAAGATAGGAAGAGGCAGTTGATTGGCTGCAAAACCGGCGACGAGACAGCCAATCGGCGTCACGGTTTCATGACTGAAACAAAAGTGCATTCAATGATGGGAAATGTACACTATTGTTCAAAAGTTTGGGGTCAGTAGGATTTTATTTATTTATTCATTTACTTCAAAGAAATTAAAACTGCAAGGACCGATTCAATTAAGAGATATACTGGTCGACCAGTCATTAATTAGAAACGGCTGGTTTTTGCTTTTTATTTTGGCTGATCTGTGTTCCAGAAGTACACCCATGCACACAAACTGCACTGGAATCATTTACCAAAATGTCGCTGTGTGGAAATAGTATGTGAAGCTGTAATGTCTGCAAAGCACAAAAGAAAAGTCACCCGAAAGACCATGATGGGTAATTTAAAAGTGTTGATGACAAACAGACGCAGACACCAAGAAGCAAACACGCATTCGTCTGCTGCCATATAAATAAGAGCCACTTTCCTGTGCTTGCTAAAGCTGCGTGAGCGTATACCTGTGTGCACCCTGCATGAGAAAGTGAACATTTGTTCAGCTCAGTTGGTCATGTGGTGGACGAGAAAAGAAACAGACTAGCTTGTAACAAATGCTGCATTCATGCCATGTCGTAATTACCGTAGTCTCGAGATGACAGAACATGACATTCTATTTGGAAATAATGTATTTTTTATGGCAACACTATCAACGGCTAAATGAATCTGTAGCGATCAGGTGATACAGCGGTCGCGTGGTAGAGGTGCGAGCTCTCCGAAAATTCCCATCTTACAAGCTGTAATTACAAGTTGAAATCTTGTAATTACGCTAATAACAACATGGCGTGAACGCACCTCAAGCTAAAATGCTTCTTTTTGTAAAAAGCACTTTCACACACTGTATAAAATCTTCAAATAAAAAAATTTCAAACTACGAATAATTGTGTTGCTGACTATACTGTGCAGGATATTTTTGTTCATATGGGTGTGTTTAGTATACCATGGTGTGTATATATACACATGAGTGTTCATGGATGGGTGTGTTTGCTTTCGTGTGTAAATGTACGTGCTTGTCTCTCTGTATTTGTCATTTTAGGTTGTCATTGTGTTTCCTCCGGTTTTGTACAGTTTATTTGGAAATAGGCAGGAACTGGGGTATTGTTGATATTGGAAAACTCTGCAGGGTAAAACTGTCTCCGCCCACAACAATATCACTCACTGTTGCCTAATAGTGACTTAAAAAATGAAAAACAGATCTAAAGATATGCAAGCATCATGATGGATCCCAGCACTGCGTTATGTGGTCTGTTTCACATGTGTCCAGCTTTGTTTTCTAGGAAACGATCCAGTTTTTTAATCAATTGGCCAGACGGAAAGCATGTTAAAGCTGAAGTTTAAATTTTCCAAGATTCTTATGGCCTTCCTTCCATTTCTTCTCTCTCTCTCTCTCTCTCTCTCTCTCTCTCTCTGAGTAGTGCATTCCAAGTGGATGTGATCGTGGATTTAAGGCCGCTGGATGGTGACGCCCCACTCCATCGTGACATTGTGTTGCTTCTGAAATGTGAGAAGTCAGTGAATTGGGTAATCAAAGCCCACAGCATCATCGGCAAACTGGACATTGTGGTATGATGTTTACATTTTTTAGCCACATACAATATGGGGAAAAAAAACAATGGTCATGAGGGATTTGCAGGTACATTATGTATATCTGTTCAAAAGTGTGGGATCAGTTAGATTAGTTTTTGAAAGCATTCTTATGTTCACTAAAGCTATGTTTATTTTATTATTTTTATTTTATGTTTTATTGCAGCCAGAAATGGTAATATTGTGAAACATTATTAGTTTGAAATAAGTGTTTCAAACTGTAATGCTGTACTTTAAGTATTTTCTAATTGATTTATTCCTGTGATGGTAAAGCTGAAGTTTCAGCAGTCATTACTCAGCTTCAGTGTCTTCAGTGTCACATGATCCTTCAGAAATCATTCTTACATGCTAATTCAGTACTCAAGAAACCTTTTATTATTATTATCACGGTTAAAAATGGTTGTGCTGCTTAATTAAGCGTGGAAACCATAATACAGTGTATTTTTTCAGGATTTTGAAAAGAAAGTTTAAAGAACAATTGAAATTCTGTTATTTATTTTGATCAAGTGAATATGTCCTTGCTAAATAAAAGGATCAAATTCTTCTTAAAAAACAAAAAAACAAAACAACAATCATAGTGATGATTCCAAAAGTTTGAACGATATGATTTTATTATTTTTGTCATTAAACTATACGTAATGCTTACTCTTCAAACCATGTGAAAAGGCTGAGCAAAGGATAGCAGGTTGATGCAATGAATTGTGTGATCTGGAGGCCTGTTATGAGATGGAGTAATAACAGAAGGAGGGGTATAGTGAGTTTTTCTTCAGCCAGAGCCTTTGGAGTGTTTTTATTGTAGCATTGGCCTGACACTTCAGAATATGAATTATGAGAGCGTCTGTCTACTGGTTTCAGATAGCACAGCATAACATTCACACCACTGAAACTGTCACTACACTGCACAGCTCTTGGAGAGCGACTTGCGCACACTCTGTGTAATTTATTGCTAAATATTTGTGCGTTTTTATGTGCTGCTTATAAGGAAAAAATCCACACTGTCGTTAGAATAAGTCACATTCGTTTTGAGTTTTGAGGTGTTTATATGATAATTTATATATATTTTTCTAAGCTGGAAAAGTGTAATGTAGAGTACAGTACTTTATATACAACTGCAATGCAATTCTTTTACAAACTGATCTCTCACTGGATACACAAAGATAAACACCAAAATAGAACTGTCACGCTTAGTCCAAGGGAAGAAGACGACGCAGATAATCCAAGTGCAGAAACACAAACAAACAGTGTGCATAGCACAAACAATACTCCACGATGAATGAAAGGAAATGAGGAACTTAAATACACAATAATGATTAACTCAAAGACTAACAGGTGTGATCGTAAATGAGTGACCATGACAACTAATAGGCTTTATGCACAACTTCACTACTTCCTGAACTTCAGCCAGCCCTTTGTTTCCTGTCTGTGGGCCTTTCTCAATCTGTGTTCTTGTCTGTACTTGTGTCCTTGTGTTCTTGTGAAACGTCATCTTTTGTGGCCCAAGTACTGTCCCAATACACAAGTTTGCATTTTGGCAAGAACAGTTAAAAATCCCGAATGTGTTCTTGACACGCCCATTTTACCGAGGATGCATCGGTTGGTAACTTGTGTGAACTTGACGGCAGAAATATCCCAGCATTCAATTCGGCATTCGAGGAAGGAGAGGCAGGTCAATACAGTATTTCGTTTTTCTACAATTACGTACACTATTTCATCACTAAATTCACTTCTGAGAACATTTGATGCGAGAAATCAACTGTGTAGATTTCAAATATTGGCATTTTTACGAAAATTTATGGCTAATCGAAAATGTGCTCAAACGTTTTCGGAAGTGATAATCTCCATAAGCGCCTGCGGGTGTAACGTTAGCTATCGAGCCAACCGGCCAGTTTGCTCACAGACTCGTTTTACCCCACAGTCAAGAGACCATTGCAGCCTGGCTGTTATCGTCAATAATTCTCGTTATGTTTGGGTACTGCAGACGGTGTCTGTGCGGGGGTATTATTGCGCAATACCAGCAAGAACACATCGTCTCAAACTGTCAGCAGCGTTCTGTGTGCTCGTCACCTTGTGAGTTCATTCTTCCAAGAACAACTAGCAAGAGCGTTCTCCCCAAGAACACAAGTCCGTTCTTTGCATTCTTGGTTTTGAGAAACACCCTGTCATTATTGGACAAACTGATTAATCCAGGTGTGCCTGATTATTGTTACTGAGACCAGGCACACCTGGATTAATCAGTTTGTCCAATAATGACAGACAGGAAACAAAGGGCTGGCTGAAGTTCAGGAAGTAGTGAAGCTGTGCATAAAGCCAATTGGTGATGGGAAAAAGAGAACAAAGGAACACAGGAAAACAGGTGACTAAGCATACTGACAGAAAACGAAACCAAAACTAAGGCAAGACGTGACAAGTACAATAGACAACAATTTACAGTGGCAATGACAGGATTTCGCAAGTAAACACAACAGTGTTCCTTGTGCTGCTTTAAAACTCTAACAGAAACGGACGTGGAAGTCACTTGCATCACTTTTGCACAATAGCACACATGGACTTAGCTGGTTTTGCAGCAAAAGACAATTAAATTAGTTAATATCAATGAATTGACTAAAGTGACATTTTTTGAAAATAAGGCATTTCAATAACTGACTAATGACCTCTTCATTGCCATTAAATTGAAATGACTGAACCTAAACATAGGAGCCTGATAAAAAAAAAAATGCTAATTTAAAAGAAAACAGACTTAGAGGTTTTTGCATTGCACTCTTCCTATATTATATATAACAGCATGTTTTGCTAAATGAAAATACGGTTACACTTTACTTAAAGGGATACTCCACCCAAAAATGAAAATTCTGTCATCATTTACTCACCCTCAAGTTGTTGCAAACCTGTATGAGTTTCTTTCTTCTGCTGAACACAAAGGAAGACATTTTGAAGAACGATTGGAACTGTTGACTTCCATAGTATTTTTTTTTTCTACTATGGAAGTCAATGGTGCCAAACAACCGTTTGGTTCCAATCGTTCTTCAAAATATCTTCCTTTGTGTTCAGCAGAAGAAAGAAACTCATACAGGTTTGCAACAACTTGAGGGTGAGTAAATGATGACAGAATTTTCAATTTTGGGTGGAGTATCCCTTTAAAGCCTTAATGAATAATGCATTATATAAAAGTAATGAATTAAAACACAACAAACAACCAAATTCAGATGTAACAAGGGATCTGCGAATATTGTAATGCATTTTATCTTTGATTACAATTATTTATGAATAAGTTATATATATATATATATATATATATATATATGATATAATGCATTATAACGTACATTATGAATAGCTTTATAATGCATTGAGGACTCCCTGGTATTGTATCTCAATTGGACCTTCCTGGTTAAATAAATACATCATTATACATAAAGGCTTTAAGTAAAATTAAGTTAAAATTCTTATAAAGTACAAATATTTGAATATATATAGATATATATGTGTATTTATATATAAATTATATAAATATATTGAGATCCTTGATCTACAGTAGATGCACATGTATGTAGATCAAACCATTAGGAGTGGTCCTGCATTATGCTATGGTGTTCTGGCATTGACAATCAAAGAGTCATAAAGTTCATTAGAGAATTTTAATATGAATGTCTAAGTGTGTGTATAACGCATCTGTCGCCATGAATGTGTTGCACTTGTCCGTGTCCGAGTGAATCAGTTACAGTGGTTAAGAGTGTAGGAGAATGTTATGCCTAAGTTATGCGTGTGATACGATCCACAGCCTTGTAAAATTAAAGCCCTGCTACTGTTGGCATATTGGCTCAAGCTCGTTGTCCCGCCTGGTGAGGCAGTTGTGGGAAACACGGCTGGGAATGAGGAACATCTGTTCTTCACACCCAATAGAGAACAAACTGAATCTAACTTTTAATTCCTATGTAATTTGACCAAGATCTCAAACCATCATTTAAGTTGAACCTGGAAAATTGTCAAAACTACAAATGTATTATGATTTTTTCATACTTGCCAATGGCATGCGATTTGACAAAAAAAAAGCCGTTCTTACTGACCATGAGACTGCATTTTGCATATTTTTAAAAATTATTTATTAGCACAATCTTATTTTTTGTCTATAAGCTCAGGCACATGAGTATTTATGGGATGAGGTGAGGTCTCAATCTCAAAACCATCAAAACCTTTTTTTTTTGGTGACTTGTTTGATATTCAACATAAAACAAGATTGTAAATTACTTCTGTTGGTAAATTTATTCTGAAAAGGTAAAAGTTGTTTGGCATTTGAGCCCTGATATGAGGATCATATCATAGTTCTTGAGGATCAGTCTATAGTTAATTTGATTCAAAACATGCATGCAATTTGCAATCTTTTTTGGCCTTTTTCTTAACTTCAACTTGGAGTTTAGTGAGTGTTCATTTTGTACCTTAAAATAAGGTATTAGATCAGAATATGTTGTCAGTGAAAACAAGAAGAACCTTGGCTTATAGTTAAAGAGTTGTGAAATGTGTCTCACAAAAAATGGACTTGAACAGAAGTAGATATCATTTTATTTCCTTTCTGACTATTAATTTTTTTGTTCTAAACTACAGTAAAGAAAGAACAAGTGTGACTGCATTCCTCTGTTTCTGCATGTGAAGTGAATGTGTCATCTTATTATTTCCCTTTGTCCTTCTCAGACGTCAGATACCGTCGGCCTGAATGATGACACTGAAAGGCTGATGCAGGTATCAAAGACGGTCAAACAGAAGCTGCCCTCCGGATCTCAGGCTCTGATCCAGTGGGCAGAGGAAAAAGGGTTCAACCCCGTCACTTCCTACACCAGCACCCCTGTCGCCAACCACTTCAAACTGCGCCTCAGAGAACAAGGCAAGAGCAACAACCGAGATATGAATAATATCGACTTAAAATAGTTCAAATAAGCTTAATTAATTGAATACACAGCAAAAAAATAAATAAATTCAATACCCACACAGATAAGGCTTGTTTCCACCTGATAGCTTCATGCGTTTTCTCTGATTGGATAGTTATCCGGTCTTAAAAAGACCAGGTGTAAATGCCCTCCCAAACACTCAATCACTCACTCACTCTCTCGATCACTCATACCACTTCAGGAGGTGGTCTGAGACACATTCCAGGCGAAACTGGACATGTGTAAGTGCATATGGTTGTTGAAACCACATATGTAAATTTTATTCTTTCCAAAAGGGTAAAAATAAACGTGTGAGAGCGTGTTATAGGCTATATGATGTTATAGCCAGATATGACAGCATCACTGCAACACGCATCAACACAGATGAGTAGCTGAGCATCTCTTCAGCAAGCCAACGCTCAAACTGCCGCAAAGGAAATATCTGTTGCTTTTGTTGACATCGGATTTATATTCGTTTTGCGGAGACACATTTATGTGGCCAAGTGTAAATGTAACCGTTTGAACAAATCGGATAGATATCCGATCAGAGAAAACGCATGAAGTGACCAGGTGTAAACAAGCCAATACATTTTTTCTTCAAAAACAATTCTTTTTGGTTCCTAAGTAAATCTCATAATACAATTTTGTACTGGAAACCAAGACAAAAATACTTTTTCAGTACTGATAAAAAAGAATACATACAGTTAATGTCAGTTGGTTCTAACTGTGTTTGCTTTGTGTGTGATTTTCTTGCATCTACATTACCAATAAGTGTTCAGGCAGATTGATGTTTAAATCTCTTCTTTCTTGATCACTTCCAGACCTAGGGAACATTGATGAGGGAATGTTCCCACCTGAGCTGTCCATTCTCCGCAATATCAACCCAAGGCCCAGTGCCCGAGATTCCCCTGCACGGACTGGGTTCCCGTTCCCCTTTCTGCCATCCATGGAGCAGGGCCTGTCATTTTCACCTCCGATGCCATCTCTTGAGGAGCGAGTCTATCAGGCTGGGGGTCTCGAGGAGCATCAGGGATCTCCAAATGTAGGATTCAGTGTGCAGTGTGAGAAGAACAAAATGGTGGTCAGCATTGACAAGGAAACTCTACAGGTAGGAAACACAAGTGACAAGTGCACAACCTTTTGTACACGCAAATATTGGATGAGCATTGCAGAGTAACTAACCAAAAGTAGTGGGACTACTAACGCAACTACATTTTTAAGTAGCTCTTATGTCTGTTATGTTTTTCAAGACTGCATATATTTGATAGAAAATACAGTAAACGTATTGTGAAATATTGTTGTTATTATTATTTAAAATAACTGCTTTCTATTTTCATATTTTGTAATGTAATTTACATGTGATTTTCAGCATCATTACTCCAGTCTTCAGTCATATGATCCTTCAGAAATCATTCTAAAATGCTGATTTGATGCTCAAGAAAAATTTCTTATTATTATCAATGTTTAAAACAGTTTTGCTGCCTAATATTTTTGTTGAAACCATGGTACATGGTTAAAAATACAATAAAATTATACATTTATTTAAAAGAAACCTTTCAATGAAAATCTTTTGATGTATTTTTTGTATTCTTTTGTTGTTTTATTAGTAGGTTGTAGTGTAGCCAACTACTTATTTAAAAGGGTAGCTTGAGTATAGTCGCACTATAAACTACTGTTTCAAAGTAGCTTCCCTAACACTGGTAAAAACTAGATGTTAAATGAGTGCAGAAGTGCTGTGTGAGAGACACCTTGTTTTTCCCTCAAGCTGATGCAGTGTGAATATTCCCAGAATGTGTGGGCCATATGCACTGACGTCAGAAACCAGAAGTTTAATATACGTGGTGTAATATACCACTTCAGAGAGAGAGAAAACCCTCATTCTACAATCAAAATGCTTTTGAGCAAAGTTAGACCAGCTTGCAAGTCTTGTTTGTCACAGTAAAAAGTTGCAACACACAATAGATCTCGAAAGCACAATAGATTTAGAAAGCAATATCTTGAGGACTGATAATAGATCTTGTTTGATATGTTGTCAAAGGTCGAGATTTTTCCTGTGAAGTCATGTTTTCCTAATGTCCTCACAGGCCAATGGGTTTGGAAAACCCAATATCACTCTTCAGGACTCCCAATGCAAAGCAACCTCCAACACCACCCACTATATACTGGAGACGCCCCTGTCTGGCTGCCAAACCACCAAAATCCCCTCCCATCCCAGCCCAGTGGTCCTCTATATCAATTCAGTGAGTACTAAAGCCAATATACAATCAATAATATCAGATGTGAAATCTAGTCCTAGGGTCAGTTGGAGTGTCCCCTCCAACACGCCGTATCTGTTTTCTGTTTCCTGGTCCCGCATGTGTGTTTTCACCCAGCAGGGATGATTCACTTCCACACTGATTTTTTTGCGATAATTTCTAGCGGAAATTCCTAAAAACACTTTTAGCCTTGAACCCATTAAAAAAAAAAACTGGACAACCTCCCAAATATGTATCTTTTACTCTGAACTCTGAGCCTCAAGGGCAATTAAAACGATGTGACCCGTATGGTCAGAGTTCAGTACTGGCTCACAGAGTGAGATCCACAGAGCATCAAAGGAGGATGTTGTTGCAACGGCAATCCTATGACAAATTGGCAAGTCTTGTGTGAATCAATTTCACCTCAACTAGACAATGTTCACAGGCCTCTTTCACCTTTGAACCCATAATCTGTCCTGAGCTCAAGGAGGCGATTCTCATATTATAATGTGAATGGATTGCTGTGTTTTTTCCGATGAGAAGTACTCAGAGTTTTTTTTTTTTTTTCATCTGCCTTGGGAGTTACATTGCTGAAATTGTGCATTCCCATGTATTAAATCCAGTTTTCTCATCTGTTTTGGCAGACCTTTGGCAAGTATAGATTTCGATTATCTCTGACTGTATCTGTGTACACCAGAGTGAAGCAATGTCATTTCTAAGAAAAGTTTTGTTGAGGAAATTGTATGATTGTTAGGAAGTTGTTGGGTTTACCTTACCTTATTACTGAGAAGTCATGAACTAAGTGTGTCTGTGATTGGCAGATTGTTATTAGCCAATCGGAACAGAAGGATGGAAGCGGCTGGCCTGTTGACGATGAAGATCTGGAGTCAGGAGATGTTGTATTACCAGGAGATCCGGAGGTGACTGGAAGAATTTTACCAGAAAGTGGACCTCGTGCATCTATCTTGGTATGATATTCACATAAAAACTATATTATTTATAAATGGTACTACCGGAATAGAAACAACAAATTTACAATATATACAAACAATGTATTGTATCCTCATACAAACAATATATTTGTATGAGGATAAGAACATCATTTAAATCATTCCGCTCTAAAAATCTTCCTCTCACTGCGACTCTCAAACGAGATGTGGCGAATATTATAACTGATGTCTGATTAGAAATCCTAAAATACAGTTAATTAATCTATGTAGTCATAACCATCAATGCATCAGTTAATGCATTATATAATATGTAACACAAATTTCTCTGTGCTACATATCATATCATATTCTCTTAATTATATCTTGAATTGTTTGAATGGTATTTTTTTTTATTCTTTATGACGTCACCATAGGAAGATAATATATTTATAATATGCTAATATTATGATAATATATATGTTTAATTAGGACTGCATTTACTGTATGTGATCAAATACATCAGGATAACGATATTCGGTCTCTCTCACCTTCACATTTCCCTTTAATTGAGTTGAAAATTCACTTTCACAAAAGATTAATATTAATATTTTCCAATTCTCTGTTTCTCTGTCCTTAGTTCAACTGCACATACCGTAAGAACCAGGGCACCCCAGTTGACAGTAATATTGGATCTGATGATTTCGTTGTAGATTCTCTAGACAATGTTACCTTTAACATGGAGCTGTATAACAATCCCTTCCACTTAACCATCCCTGAATCATTCCTCACCATCACTGAGAACAGGCCCATCTATGTGGAGGTAAGCATATACATATACATATGTGTACATATACATAGGGTTTGAAATAAACACCGGCCGACCCACCAAATGCGGGTAAAAATCAACTGTATTGATGTCAAATCAGTAGCCAATTTGGTGGGTTATTTCCACAAATTATGTTCACTCAATTTGCTTGTGAAGTTTATGTAATCTGTGCAAATTTGTTTGCTTTGAAGGGAATAGCTCAGACCCAAGAAACATAATAATGTGGGTTATCTAACCCCACTGTGAAATGGACAGAACCACCTAGCTTCGAAGAAGGACATCTGCCAATTTTTAGCAGTTACAGTGGGACACCACGTCTCTTGCCTCCTCTGAGCCCGTTGAGTTTAAACAGAACCCCTAAAGTGTGCGGTGGGTTCAGTGGGGGGTAATTGAGAATGAATGGGGGAAAGTCACATGAGATGAGGCAATGCCTCCATCTTGCTATGATTGGATATGATCGGTTATAATTGGATATGATTGGTTCGTGCAATAAATCCCACCTCTTATTTTTGTGCGCTTTCTCGAATTGGCCTGAATGTAGACAATGATGGCGTTAATGGGAAGACTAATTAAAAAGAAAGTAAACATCTCAGCCATTTAGATATCACCGCTTTGTCGTGTTAAAATCAAACTTGAAATGGACTGAAAACAAGATGACTGTGAGGGTTTTAGTGAGCAATCAGCTTTGTGAAATGAAATGTAGGCTACATCTTCGTCTGTGATCGGTGTGTACAAGCTTGATGACTGCTGAAAATAAGTTGACTATTAAAACGAAATTTTAAATTTAACTTTGCATTGGTAAGATTTTTTAAGTCTCTTGTGCTCACCAAGACTGTATTTATTTGATTAAAAAATAAAAGTAATTTTAAATAACTGTAATATTGTGAAATATTATTACAAATTTAAATAACTGTTTTCTATTTTATTATATTTTTTAAAATGTGATTTGTTCCTGTGATGGCAAAGCTGAATTTTCAGCAGTCATTACTCCAGTCTTCAGTGTCTCATTATCCTTCCGAAATTATTCTAATTTGCTGATTTGGGTCTCAAGAAACATTTTTTATTATTATCAATGTCAAGACTGTGCTGCTTAATATTTTTGTGGAAACTGTGCTAGACTTTTTCAGGATTCGTTGATTAATAGAAAGTTCACCAAAATAACACCATTTATTTGATATACTGTAATTGCTTTTGTAACAATGTAAAAGTCTCTACTGTCACTTTTGATCAGATCAGTGTAATGCATCCCTGCTGAATAATAGTATTATTTAAAAAAAAAAAAAAACAGTAGTGTACATGTGGAAACCATGGGGCATTACATTGTACAATACATACATTCTGTGTGTGTGCTATTATGGAAAAGATTCCTTTGGGGTTCAATAAAACCATTTCCAGTGTTGTAACCACATTAGAAATCTAATTTAGTAATTGAACGAGAAACCATATACACAAATATAGTCACTGCCAAAAGCTCTTGAAATACAAGATCTGCTTTTACCCTCTAACCATGATGTGTGGTTCTCATTGTGTATGGTTTCTTGTTTCTAATACCATAAGCGCCTGGTGTCTGTCTGTCTGATCAGACATTGTCCTGAGTATGTGAGCATTTACAGCTGCAAAAGTACACACGTGTGTTTAGATGTCTCTCTGTCAATCGCTGTGAAAGCAGTCTGCTGTGAGTGTGTGTGTGTGTGTGTACATTTTGTCTGGTCCGGGAGCATGTCATATTGCCATTAATCAGTGGGGTTTCAAGGGGGCAAGGCTGACAATATTTGATCTCAGAGTGGAATGCTCAGGTCCCCGTTTTTAACTCTCTCTCTTCCAGGGTTAGAGTCTTTGATTAAATGTGTTCCACTGAAGGTCTACCTCATATGCCATATGAAAACATCAGATCAGTGCAGATTGTTCTTGATTTATAGCCACATCAATGGAGGATCTGCTGTGTCAATCAGACAGCAGATCACAAAGAGGGTCCACACTCTTTTTGGGCCTTGCAAAAAAAAGTTTTTAATTAATCTCTCTTTTTTTCCCCATTTGGTTATACAAGTCTGCCAGTGAGTTGAGAATGCACACATATTAATATAGCCAATCACACGGAACAAAACGTGCCACACTGCATGCTAGCTTGAGTTCAAGGTGGCAGAACAATAACAGTGAACCTAATCACTCAACAGTTATTTATTAAGAATAAGCAAAGTGGCATAGACAATTTTAAAGTATGGTGTTTGAAACAACAGAAAGGGCAATGGACATCACGCAATTTCCCTATATGTAGCATAAACTTTAGTTAAGCTGTCAAACCACAAAAAGCTTGTTTCTCAAGTAAATCTATCCTTGTTTCACTGATTTTTGTTGTTGTTCTTTTATTTGGAAAATTAAACAAAATACTCTTTTGCAATAGGATTTTTAGCAGTCTATTCGTATCAAAGGGTTCACCCAATAATAAAATTCCTGATGTTCATGTTGTTCGAAATGTAGATTACAGCTTTTTCAACATTTTAGACCGTGATCACTGACTGTAAATCCAAGTCTTCTGAGCCCACTTGTGCAACAATGCATTTGCACATGTAAATGCTTCAGACTAGGCTTGACATCAGTGATGCTTTTGCCTTATCTTTTAACCAATGTGTTGCTCAATTTGAATATGAATATGAATATTGAGTGGAATATGACTTACATTTTGGACTGTTCTCAGACAAAGCTAATTTACGCATTTAGAAATCTAGCAAGTCATTTTTGTGGTGTGACAGCCTGTCATTCAGCCAAGTCAATATTATTTCTGCATCTTTCGCATTATTGTTCAAGGTTCATAGTCTGCCTTTCTGAAATGATTTGGCCACTTTCCTGAGTTTGACACCCCTTTGGCACAGTTATATTGAGGAAATGGGATGTGATGTTTTTCGTGGCAGCTCTCGTCTGTAATGCGTGCTTTTACAACATCAGATGGCCAAACTATTACAACTGAATGATCCTCAAAGATTTATTCTAGGCACAGAAATCTGACGTCAGAATTTGTGATTCTTGGAACGGTGAACACTTTGACAATGTTTCTTTAGACAGTGTGCCGTGTTAAAACAAATGAACTGCGTCTGTGCGTTATTTGCTGATTTGAAGCGATGCCTGAGATAGTTTGTGGGGGAAAAAAAATCACAAAGACCGATCAAAAAAAGATAGACTGAGCGTGTCTGGCAGAGGAATAGACATAATATATAGCATCTAAGCATCACTCTGCTGATCCATCTCATACTATATGAATCACGTTTGATCGTATTATTGAAAAATTGTCAAAAAGTTGTATTAATCAAGATAAAGAAAGCAGTTTTTTTCTTTCTCTATTTGTCTTGCTGTCTCTATCTTTTATTGTTTGCAGCAGATGCATATTTTGTCTCACAGAAAAAGGACTTTTCCATTATTAACAGAGACATGTGACCTTTCTCTGCAGATATCCGCCACAAAAGCCGACCCTAACCTTGGGTTCATGATCCAGACCTGCTTCATATCTCCAGAATCCAATCCTCTCATGCCGTCAGACTACGTTGTCATAGAGAACATATGTCCCAAGGACGACTCTGTACTCTATTACCCTCAGCGAAGCGATTTCCCCATCCCTCACGCCCAGATGGACAAAAAACGCTTCAGTTTCACCTACAGATCAAAGTTCAACGTGTCATTGCTCTTCCTGCACTGTGAGATGTCCCTCTGCTCCAGAAGAAATGACCAGGAGATGAACCTGCCAGAGGTAGAAACCAACATCTAACATATCAGTTCTGTTCCAAGATCTAAGCTGTATTTTAAGGGCGTCACACTGTACATTAGGTGTGTTCATAATGCAAATGCTGTTTAAAAAGTTGGGCAGTGACATTATAGTGCCTTCTAAGATACACTGTTCCTTGTTTTCGTAAATTCTAAAGCATCATCACGTGTATCGTTCACAGAAAAGGCAATATAGTGAAAAACTAAACCCAAGATGGCAGAAGCAAGAGAAATGTTCATTCATTACTGAGAAATATAATTGAAAATAGTGTAATATAATTAAAAACACCCAATAATGCGGTGTACTATGTGTCGTATTCTTATTTGAGTATTGCTTAGCCACATGCTAAAATCAAACTATATTTTAATTAAGTTTGGATGATTCTATGCATTTTTTGCGTTGGTTTGCAGTAAAAAAACCCACCAATAATCATTATGTATTTTAGTATTAATAGTAACACTAAAAGTAGTTGCCTGTACATGAAATCCTGAAATCAGTTGTGGCCTATCAATTCCTGCTCATTTTACAATAGAATTCACTGTAATTAAGTTAAACACTTAATGATTTGTTTGCAATCAGAGTTATGGATTTTAATAGCTAATATTGCTTTACCGGCCTTTGGTTAACTTTTTTTTTTTTTTTTTTTTTGTGGCATGCAAAATTGTGGAAATAAGACTCCAAACTGCAAAATGGTTTTGAATTTGCAGTATTTCTTACAGTAAATATAGCAAAGTCCTGTAGGAACTGCTATGTAGAACCTTCCAAATGGGTTCCTCATGAATTTCCATTTCGGTTATGATGTTGCCTTAGAAGGAAACTTCCTTTTTTGGCAGCCCACTAGGTTTTGGAACACTGCCTTTATCTCCTTTATCTTTGCTTTCATCATATACACATTATTCCCTCATTTCTTTGTATTATTTATAAAGATCTTTATAGATGACTCTGTGATAACATAGTTCAACTTCTTAAAACTATTTAACTCCAGTACTAATCAATTTAAGCTGATTAATATAAACTGCAGGTGTGTTAGCTTTCACACAATCAGATTGAAAATCATTCTATTGCATTATCATTTATAGAATCAAAATTAGCTGCATTGTGTATGCTTGTTTTATTTTAGACTCCACAGGGTTATCTCATTAAGTCAGAGTACAGGAACGCAGATAACTTATTGACCCTAGCACATCTTTTCAGAGTAGTTGCTTTATTATATGGATAGCATGAACACACTCTTTAATTCATTTATATAATCTGTTTGACTTTGCTGTCCATCCTAAGAGTTGCTTTTTGATTCATTGCCTTGGCACGGGTCACTCTTATGCCAGCTGCTAGCATCAATCCACTCTCTCTGAGTGCGGGATGCATAAATCTCAGGTTACTTCAGTTACCATCCACAGAGGAAAAACAAATCTCCAACTTTCACTGTCCTTTTTCAAATTCCCTTCCTCCCTCACTTCTACACATAATCATTTTAATCTCCTGCATTTTCAGCCACTCTAATCATCATATTGCACGTTAAGGTTGTTTATGTCTCACCTAACATGATCTTGAAAGTGACTCATTGTTTGGTCGTAGATGTTTACAGTTCAGCTATAATCTGGATGAGGATAAGAGATGTGACACGTCAAACTGTATAAACTGTGTATGAAATTATATGTGCTTTCTCTTCGAAGAGTGTGTGTTCAGTTTGGCTCAGGCACAATTTCGGCCACGAATGGTATGGTTTTAATGGCTTGAAATATACACTAATCCATGCTTATGAAGAACAAAGTGAAAATTTGAACAATATGAATGGTCAGATGGGGTCACTGTGAGAGTGTTTCGGACCAGTTGATAACAAATCAGTAATGTGTTGCAACAAATGTTATTGGTTGCTAAAAAAGGTAATGAACCTTTAAGGCAGTGGTTCTACCACCTTAAAATAACATTAACACAGAGCATGTATTTCTAAAAGGCAAAAGTCTGCCTCTAGTATAAAAACAGGAAACATGGTGGTGTTGGAAATGGTAAAATACATGATATCCAACCTTATCTTTTACGGTCAAAACTGACTGCATCCACACAAGCAGTACTATATAAATAAAGGTGAAGGATAAATATAGACACAGATTGTGTCTATATACAAACTCTCTTCGATACGAAAGCATACCCTATGTGAGTTCTTGTTTTTAATGTTGATAATATTATATGAGCAAGAATAATTTTTTTGATTGCAACATGATTGCAAATGTGTCACATACAACAGTTCAACTAACAAAAATATAATATTAAGTAGCGTACATTTTAAACAGAGCATTATCAATATTGTTTGCTCTTTTTGCAACTATTGCATCTCCAAGCAATACACAGCGGTGTTTCTTTAGTGAACGAATCTCCGTCTTTGAATGAATCGGGAGAGTCAATGATTCAATGACCAATTCATAAATACACATTTGGTTCCAATTTACATTTGTTTCGTTATTGAATGAATGAATGGCTTGATGACTTACTCATTAAGACGTGACTTGCAACCACCTACTGTCGGTTTTAGTTTAATATTTAAAAATACTGTTACCATAATTTAACTTTTTTAATTAAAACATTATCTCATAACATTATTTATGCCATTGTAATTGCATTAATGCCACCTCTGAGCAGCATTAAACAACGTTTAAATACATCTAGATGCAGCTTGTACCACTGCAATGCAAAGATGGCTTTTGTTGATCAAGATTTCATTTGATTGAAATTACTGATTTGGTTTAATTTATTGCTTTATTTATTAGATTAATAATTATATTAATGGAATTTTAAGAATTTGACAAACATAACAAATACATTTAATATAGGGTTAGAAAAACTGCCCAACTGCTTCAAGGTAGCTTTTAGGGGTAAATAAGATAAAAAGGTGTACCTTATGAAAGGGAAAATAAATGAATGTTGATATATAATATATAATGAATAACATCCTTTTTATACATTCAGAATATCTGTTTTCTCTGTTTGCCAAGCTGCAACAGACTCCAAAATCTGGCCTCTCCTCATAATAAAGGAAGTGCAGTTGTAAGCCTGTTTATTATAATATGCTCTTTTATCTCATGAGGGAGGTTCATGTTGTTTTTTGAGGATTGTGGTGCCCATATGCCAACGATTACAATTGGATCTTATTCTAACATTTCTGCGTTTTTTCTTTGTAGTGTATGTTACCGGATGAAGCCTGCACTTCCCTCAGTTTGGACAACATCCTACTCATGATGATGAACACCAAAACCATCACCAAGCCAATGGTGGTCATCTCCGACAACACACCTGTCACTGTTAACACACCCGTCACTGTTAAGGTCCCTGAGGAGAAAATTCCACAACATCTAGGTAAAGATCACAAGTCAATACAACATCCAACTTTAGACATTAAAGGTGCACTTTTTGGGATTTTTTTCTTTTCTTTTTGCAGTCATTTCAGTATTATAGAAGCTGCGTTTTTTTTTTTTTTTTTTTTTTTGCTGAATTTAATATCTTAGCCTTAGATATTCTGAAGAACATCTTGCTGTGATTGGCATATATGAAGCATCATGGGAAAATGTGTGTATCTGAGGTTGTATATGTGTGTCAGTCACTCAGATCACAGGTCCGAGTTCCTGTCTTGTCTCACTTTGTGGCGCATTACACCCATTTGGAGTCTTTTAGTATGTGACATTTGAGTTGAGTATGTGTGCATTTGCGTGTTGTGCTTTCAATGTGGTTTGATTTTAAAGTGTGTGATTCATTAGAGATGTGGGACAAGGGACTCATAGATGCATCAGAGGAGAGGAAAAAGACCAGCTTTCCAATTCTGGATAGCATTTGTTTTCACTTAAACATTCTTTAAGACCTCCCCTTCTGTACAGACAGAGAAGGAGATTCAGAGAGCAAGAAAAAGGAGAGAATGAAGATAAGGAAGAAACTTGACCATGATAAAGAAAGGGAGGTTTTTGCACTATATACCTGCAGTCTGCATTTGCCATAGATGGACTGTGTGGTATACAAGAGGACAGCAGGGTGCTGTCTAAACTTTTTTTTTTTTTACAAAGAAACTTAATATGACCATGCCTGATTTGTTCTGTTCCCTGTATCTTCTTGGCACTATTGCACCTATTGCGGTTGGAGTGAATCAACTTTACTGACTCGCAACTCTAATGAAAATCATTCCGGTTTAATAACACAATGTTGCTGTGCTGCTTGTAGCAAATGGAGCATGCATCTATTAGTCACACTTGATTAGGTAAATGATTGCCACTCCTGAAGGATGCAAGCTGGGATTTTATTGCCACAAGTCAAGTTTTATGTAGGTTTAGTTGTTTCTGAGTGGAAACAAAATAAAAATTCTGTTCCTAAGAAAGCAGATGACACATACCTGGAAAATGTGGAGTGAATCCAGATTGCATGTGAATTCAGTGTGAATCCAGTGTGGGCTCACTCTTGATGAACAAGCTTGTGTGTGTTGCCAATGTCAGGTTTATTCTCTCTGGTGTGAATTAAGTAAACTCAGATATGCCATAAAAAGTAATGAAAACAGGCTTTTCGTCTCATTTTGAACACAAAGACGACTCTTGTACAGACATGGCAGAAAAGCAAAAAGGCTCAAAGCGCCGCTCTGGACAGGATCCCAAAATGTTTGGCTTAATCTACAAATCAAAGAGGGCAGTTTATGGGAGTGCCATGCTTGAGAAAAACATGGCAGAACAAAACATTGCCATCCGAAAAAAGATTCACGATCAGAAAACATCAACACTTCCCTACCTTTTTTGGTCTAAAGCAGAGGTACAACCTCACACTGAATTTTTGTAAATGTTTTTATTTTAATTTGGTGTGCTGGTAATCACACAGTTGCTGACTTATTACTGTAAATGACTGAGGATCACACACTAGACTTAAACGTTATTCCGAACACATACAACTTTAGGGGATGCATGACAAATGAAAACAATGTGTTTTAAAATAATCTCAAAATATCAAACATGTATGATATCCTCCAACTGGACAAAACATCGTATTCTCTGCCCATCATAAACCATGCGATTTTCAGCAAAATCTGTCAACTTGGACTGCCCAAAATCTGCAGAGCAGTTTTGACTTCCTACCGTGTGTTTCAAATGTCTAAGTTGACTGAGAGTTTAGAGAGACTGGGTTCTCATGGTAGGTCTGTCTTCAAAGATTGATGTTTTGCTAAATTATTTCATTCTGAATAAAATGAATGGGATTTTGACTTTTTACTGTGCTCTTTACCAGAGGTGTAAAGTCCAGGGGTCAGAAAGTAAAAGTCCTGCCGTATGTTTATTCCACCCATGAACTCAGCCAGCTGATTTCACTAATTAGTTCTATCTCCTGGCTGGAAAACTGTGCTAATTAGCAAATGCCAGGTGATTGGAACAAAATACTGAGGAGGACTTTTACTTTCTGAACCTGGACTTTACACCTCTGCTCTTTACTGCTGAATCAGGCAAACACATCATCTTGTTGAAGTTTGTCCAATGCTTGTCCAAAAAATACACACAAGAGTATTATTCTTGTGTTCATACTTCCTTTGAGAAACCCAGCTAGTCCTAAAAAGGGCGAAGTAAAGAACAGCACAAATATGTTCTGACACCCGGGAGGAGATCTTGGGCGGTGGTGACTACATACAATGTTGTCCAAGTCATTAGGGCTAGTTCATTTACTTCCCTCCGAGATACTTTACAGGGTTTGTGGGTGGAGTAGCTCAGACAAACCTATGGCAACGGCAGAGCAAACCACATCCCTTGCTTCAAGCTGACATAGCTTCTCCCAGGAATCCTCTAATCGTACAAGCTTTTGTTCTCTGTTCTGTTTCGCTTCCTCTTGTAAGCCATAAATACAGTACATTGAGATTTTATTTTATTTCACCCAAAAATGAAAATTCTGTCATAATTTACATAGATGAATTTCTGTATTCTGTGGAGCACAAAAGAAGATATTGTGATAGTCAATGGAGTCCAAACAACATTGGACCTCATTAAATTTTTATATATAAAAAAAATCATTACATTTCTCATTGCATGGGAAAAAAGACAATTATCACAGATATGCTACCATTTAAAAGTTCATAAGTATGCTTTTTTAAAAGAAATTAATACTTCATATTCAGATTAATACTTTATTCGGAAAGAATGCATTTCAATTATTTTACTTAAAGGTGACCAATAAAGACATTTATTATGTTACAAAAGATTTCTATTTCAAAGTTCTTTTGAACTTTCTATTCATCAAAGAAGCAGCGCAACCGTTTTAATGCTGAAAGTTAAGCTTTACCATTACAAGAATAAATTGCATTTTAATATATTAAATCAGAAAATAGTTCAATTCTAATATTTCACAATATTACTGTTCTAATATTACTAATTAGAATCTAATATACTGTTCTAATATTACTGTTCTTAGCTTTTTCTTTTTTTAATCAAATAAATGCAGCTTTGGTGAGCATAAGAGACATATCTCACCGACTGCAAACTTTTGAACTTTAGTGGGGTTTTTTTGTTTACTGTTTCTCTACCCTTTGCTTAGGCCTATAACATGTACATAGACAGAAGTGTTGATGACAAGCTTTATATTTTTGAGCTGTCCTGCACAGATATGATATAGGGGTTGGTTCTGGTGGTGATTTGGGGTAAAGGGTAAAAGCCTGAGGTGGGAGCTGTTACATAGCACTCGCTCTTGTTTTAACAGAGCGCTCCAGTGATAGTCTGTCATCAGTCTGTCAGAGGGGATGAAAATCTGAAGGTGCTCTCTCTGAGAATAGCCTCTATTGTGCTTGGGATTTTGGCGCTAGACCAGATGGGCTATGAAGCTGGTGGCCACACAGGGTCTATTGTGCTGTGTGATCAGTGATCATTAGAGCTAATTAGAGCTCTGAAAGTCATTCGGCCTGTGGCGCGAGTCCAAGGAAACTCTCAGATACTTGGCTTGCTCTCGGATGCCACTGCAAATCCCATACCAAGCATGTGCTCTTACTTTATACGTGGTCACCAAACACTTGCACCACACAGCATGTAAACATCATGAATGTAAAGAATACAGTAGCAATTTTTCAGGTATAAGATATTTGTGCGTGTATACTTTAACGTATTATCATGTTTCATCAAGTAATATAATGTTAATATACCAAGCTACCAAAGGCAACTTTTACCTCAGCTTTTATAATGTACTGATAACGACCATATGGCCACATAATGAAGTCTCAGTTTACGAATGTAATAATGGTTCCCTGAGAAGGGGAACGAGACACTCCATCTTGGAACGATGAAATAGGGAGTGCCATCAGTGTGACCAGTGTCTGAAACACGTGTATATACATACGAAAATTTAATTGATGAACGGCAGTCCATGGCGTCACTACTGGAGCGCCTGCCCTTATAAGAGGGCACCTGCAATAGACGTCATCAACTTTTTTTGTCTGAAGGAGACGGGCAGGTAAATCTGAGGCATGGTGACGAGACACAGTGTCCCCTTTTCACAGAATGTTCTCTTTCGAAGTGGAACTCAACACTGCATCTTGGATTGATGCGATGGGAAACAAATACCCACTCGGTCATGTTGAGGGAATGCCTGCCTCATTAGCTGTGCCTGTGGTTTTATTTAGAATAACTATTCACCCTCCTCGCTACATAGAACTCTATCTAAGCCCAGGGAGCTTCAGCTCTACTACCTACCTAAGACTCCCAGAACCTGACAAAGGTGCCTGATAACAAGAAGAGCTGCCAGAAGGCAAATTAACCTCTATTTGCGAGGTTCTAAGGGATCAGTTAAGGCTAAATGAAATAAAGGACAATACTTTAAAATCCAGACCGTAGGGGAGCGTTCTACTCTACACTCAACCCAGAAGGACTGCCCGGACCTGTCCAGGGTCCCAAGACTCTGAGCACCTGACAAAGGTGCCTGGTAACAAGAAGAGCTGCTAAAAAGCATATTAATTCCTACTTGTTAGGTTGTACAGGACCAGTTAAGGCTCCAACAGGGAGTGGAGGACCCTACTTTAAAAACCCAACAGCGATTTAGTCTGGTTTCAAAAATCGCTTCCTTTTTAATTATTTCCTCCTAGTGTCCTGCCTCCTCTGTGCTCTACTCCTCACCGGAGGAGCACGAGTGGCCACGCTCAGCCTCAAGCCCTGCCTCCAGTCCTTAGATTGTGACAGACCAGGTCCCCCAAAGGTATTAGGCGAAGACTTAGACCGGGACGGTATGTATCCCCTGAAAGCTGTCAACCTCACCTCTCTAAACCTATGGATGTGCCAAAAGTTCAGAGGGCGAGACATCCAGCTTCCTTGGAGTCGAACTTGCTCCACCCGTGGCGGTTGTCTTACACGCGCATACAAACAAGAGTCTCCTAAAGACACAAAGAGTTGATGGCGTCTATTGCAGGCACCCTCTTATACGTCTGGTGGACTCTGGTAGTGGGGTCATGGACTGTCGTCGGCCAATTAAATTTTCGTCTCTATACACATGCTTCAGACACCAGTCACACTGATGGCATTCCCCATAGTGTCGATCCAAGTGTTCCTCCAAGTTCATCGTAAGTGGGCTGTTCATAAAACATGGGCAATACTTTACACATGACACTAAAATAATGCAATTGAATAGTATATTAAATAATATAAAATGAAACAACAGATAAAAAAATATCAAGTCAAGTCACCTATGTTCATATAGCACTTCATACAATACAGATTGTTTTCCTTTCCTTTACAGGAAAACAGGAAAATAATGATTCAATGATGCAAACACAATTCAATTCTGTTGTAAAGCAGCTCTTAAAATACAATAGTAAACAGTCCTTATTCAGATGAAATTAGTTCAGTTGAACAAATAAATGAATAAATTACTGGCTATCCCACATTTGTTTTTTAACATAACTCAGGCACTGAGTTAAAGTATGTATATATAAAAAAAAAGTAAAAAGAAAAAACTGTTTTACACACATATATGATATATATATATATATATATGACTGTAATTTTACAATGCTATCCATGTTTCTGCAGCATGTCTGAATGCATGAAACAATGGTGTGAAAAAGTTTCTTGTAATTGAAAAAGTAATTGGATTGGTTTACTCACATTCCTTACATTTTCCAAATTGATGCACTCCAAATTGCGATGTACCAAATATTTACCAAACTGTACTGTAACCCTGACCACAGAGTGAAAAATCAGAACTTTTACATACATACTTTAACCTATATTTTGATTTCTTTCTCACAGACATCATATATGTGTTGGACACCCCGACTGTGGTGGGCATCGCTTTTGCTGCCTTTGTGATCGGAGCCCTTCTGACTGGAGCTCTCTGGTTCATCTACTCGCATACAGGTGAGAAAATATTCACATCAGAACACCCTTGAACTCATCTGACCCTTGTTCTCATTCCCTGCCTCACGCTAATTAGTATTGAGAGAGTTATGCATCATATCATTTATCATATTGTCAAAATAAGCAAGGAAACAAGCTCATTTTTGATCGTCGGAAGGGCTTGCCAGTTCTGTTAACAGCAATATATTAACAATAGCATATTGACTCCCAGCCTGTAAATATATCCTGTTCGTCAGCAGAAGCGCATCTGTCTTTTCCGTTCTTTCAAGCATTGGGGGGGGGGTCTGTTGGATGGTCGGCAGTATTTTGGGTACAATAGCCCAAAAGGGACTGGAATTCCCCCTATCCATGAGGGTGTCTCCAGGCCTCACAGGAAAATACATATACAATCCTCCAGCTGAATGCCAAGATTCACTCCACCCCTCCTCCCTGCATTGCCCTGTTGTCGCCAGGCCGACGACCTCTGTTGACCCTTCAGAGGAAGCGCATGCTCTTTCTTAGCCCCGATTTCCTCCCATTTGCCTTCACCCTTAGTCTGGCCTTTGGTTTATGTCCTCAGTGCCGTTGACCTGCTACCGTTTTATGGCACACATTTGAAGGGATTCTCATTCTGAACACTGTTCCAGAATCTGTAGTTGTGTAGGCCAATGAGTATCAGTATGTAGACTGAGGATCAAAGCCATTCTGGATTTGAGCTATTTCTATTTTTTGGACATGTGTATCTTGGATATATCCGTGTCTTGACATAAAGTAGTCATGTTTAGCTTTTATTAGCTTTCATTTTTAATCTAGAGTTTGTTCAAAAACATAAATCAGTATAATGTTTTATTAATATTGCCTGTGGTATTCAGTTGGGATGACATTATCCAGCTGTGTTCCTGCTCATTGTTGTTGTTACGTGAGACTGAAGAGTTTAGATCAGGTTGTTGTTGTTTGCCAGTTTATGTTTGCACCTTAGATCAGGGTCACTTTTTATTTGTTACTGGTAAGACTCAGTGTTTCATTTGACTACCCTTTAAGTTAATTTAAGGTCAAAACTGTGACTTTTTCTTGTCGGAAACGTGTGTAAAATGTTGAAATGAAAAAAAAGAAAGAAAAAAGTTTAGTAATGGCGTACTAAGCTCTGATCATTCCAGTCATGTGTTTCTCATAATGGCATTGATTACTTTAACCACAACATTGTAAAGTATTTAATCATATTACTAAAATAGCCCTGCATGGAATAATTTTTTGATACCGACGTTAACCCCAAGTGCTTTTCAAGTTTGGAACAGCCTAAATTATTGACTCAGAGCTTCTTGAAAAAAAAAAATGCTAAAAGACGAAACTATCAAAAACACGGGTGCTTTTCTTACCTCTGAGGTGTAGGAAAATGGCAAAAAAAGGCTTTGGTTTTTTGGTTTTATTTTTACAAATAAAATATTACATTTGTTTAATTTAATCTTATGCTGTTTTGTCAGTTTTATTTTATATTTATATTTATATTTCAGTTTGAGTTTCAGTACTTTTAATACTTTACAGTTCTTGTAAAAAATAATTATCGTCTAATATTTATATTTTATTTCAGCTTAATTTTAATCAACTAAAATGATTTTACTTCACAATAACAACACTTTACTTTCACACTAAAAGAGTGATGTGTATAATGATTATGAGTACATAATTGTTCCATACATTAGGGATGCTTACTATTTTAGGGAAAGCTACGTGTGGAATGTTGCGGGGGTCTGTTAAAAAACAGCTCCTGTAATCCTGTCACCGTCCCTGTCGTAGATCACACTGATAGGTTAAGGACGTTGCCCCTGTGCGCACAGAGTGGGAGTTACACAACGAAATGACACGGTCGAGTGGAAGAGGTCAACAAGCTGCCATCAAACTCTTTCTCACACATACAACAAAATGCGTCCTTGTTCGGAGTACTGTTTCATTTAACTAAAACCAACATATGCTGTTAATCTGTGTGCTGTCACGGTGTATGTTCGCAAGACGAGTGTCCGTAAAAGTGAGATGTACGGAGGCAGATAAGCGAGAGTCTAGTACACAGCGCTGTATGAGGAAATAGGCTGTTTTTAGCTGGAGCTCTTGGCAGCACATCTCTGGCACATATTAGCAGCAGAGGGGCCTAAAACAGGGAAGCAGAGACACGTCCAGATGAGCTGAGAAGAGAAGCACACACACACATAAACACACTCACAATTTACAATGCTGGGTTGGTGGACATTATTTACAGACGTTTTACAGAGAATTCAGATATATGTAGTGTAAGAGAGCAGAGTGCTTAATTAATATTGGGGTTTTATTTGAATGCCAAGTATGTAAAGCAAACCTGGAATTTGATTAAAAACTCTAATCTAGGGTTGAGTCCTCTGATAGAGGAATGTTTAAGTCTGTCTAGAACAACAATCAGTGAAGACAAAGAGAAGAATGAGATAGAACACTCGCTTAGAGCCAAAAGCGAGTAAAAATCAGTGCTGAATGGTGGCCATTTTGTGTTCTCCAAAAGAACCTTTCAATGAACAATTCTTAAAAGATTTTTTTTTTCTTTGTGTGTAGAAGATTTCAATTATTATCCTTTTTCCACTATGAAGAACCTTTTGTGAAATAGAAAGGTCAGAATGAATGTACTCTTAAGTGCACCAGCCAAACCACTTGATGCGACAGAGAAAAAAACAAAAAAACATTTATGAAATAAATGTGTCTGTGCATGAAAGTGTTATGCTTTCATGACTTCGGGGTTAACAACTTCTGACATTCTAAAAGACCTGAATCTCAGAAAGTCACATTTAGTGCGAGTCATAGATTCATGACATCTAGAAAACAATGTGTTTTTCCAAGTGTCCCTTGTAGGAAACTCAGAAGCAAAGACGAGGAGACTCTGTGTGTCTTCAGCAGGCCTTTTTATTGAGAACGTGCTGTCCAAGTCAAGTCCAACTAAAGCCTCGTTCACACCGCCCATGTCGCTAGTTTCTGTTCTGTGAAGACGCTTGTGGGCGTTCCTAGTGCTGTCGCTCTAATGTTGTTGGTAGACTGTGCGTCTGGCCGTATCTTTAGAAAATGCAATCACAAATTATATATAAAACTAAGATATCATTCTAATTTGACTAGGAATTTGACTTAAACAAATTAAAATTAGCATCTGCTGTTGGAGAGTACCGTGATATTAAACTACAGCAGTGCTCAGTGTATTAAATCATTAACCAGATTAACCAGATCGATCAATCAACGAATTAAACTCCGTAAAAAAATGACTAAAACGTCATTCGAATTTGACAAATAAGAATTGAATCTTGTCCCTAATAATCCACACAATGCAGGGGAAACTATAATTTGAACTGCACTAGTGCATCATATAATTAACAACAAACAAACTATCAATGTATGAATCAAACTCAATGACTGCCGACAGTTTCATCACACATCATATCCATGTATGTGGTTACAGTCCTGTCTTGCCTGCACTCGAGACGGTGACGTGAGAGCTCCAGTGACAGTCTTTACTCCTATTGGTTGTCGCTCTGGTGGCATCATTGTCGTGTGCATTGGGTTACCAGCACCAAGTCCAAGTCTATTCATTTGCACCCACATTTTTAATCGACAGTACGTTTTTTGTTAACCTTTTATCGTTTGTCTTGGAGTATCGCAATAATTTCGTATCGTGAGTTCAGTATCATGATATGTTTCGAATCGTGATATGAGGGTATCGTTACACCCCTAGTTTATATACATTGGGGCAGTGCTTAGAAATGGAGACAAAGCACCTGGCAGTAGGGCTGTAGTCAAGACCACCTTTGTCGAGTTCAAGACCAGGACTAGTCGAGTCCAAGACAAGACCGAGTCCAAAAAGGTTTGAGTCCGAGTCCGAGTCAAGACCGAGTCCAGGACAGGAAAAAAAGTCTTGACATTAAATGACAATAATTTTGGGTTATTATTTGTTGATCTAAAAGCAAAAACAGTGTCACAACACCCAGGATTTTTAAGTATAGACATTCCCCTTGATATCATATAATCTTCTAATCTACAGAAAAAAGAATGATGACATATGGTGATACCTCATTATAGCAGTGTTAGAACTGATACAAACACCAACCCACCACTGCTAGGTAGGCTACTAGTAGCCTACTGAGCATTTGAGCAGCTTCACTCCAGTAAAATATATCTGTGGTAATTTCTTCACGTTAAACCGAACTTTTATTTTGACGGGTTTCTGAGTGTATCTGACGATGAAACGCTGAAGATAAACGTGTACTTGAGTATGTGTAGTACACGAACCTGCGGCACTCACTTGCAGAGACTCGCTGAACAACCAGATTTGATAGCAGTCTTTAATATTCACAGTGACTAGTCCATATAGCAATTTCATATTATGATTGGCAGTGAATAGACAGATCTGTTATTTCAGCTATGCGCCGGTATTGCAGTAGCAAATAGTAGAAAAGAAATCACACACGCGCAGGTCATACTTGTCAATGACGGGCACTACAATCTGCGGTAATCTGCGGAGGTTTCTGTGGAAGTCTGCGGGTGCATACTACAATAATACGTTACTGGGAACATAAAAAAGACACCTGGACTCGGTCGAGACCAAAAGCCATATTTGGCAAGACCAGTGGCCGAGACCGAGACAAGTCTGAGTCCGAATACCAGCGAGTCCGAGACAAGTCCGAGACCATAGAAAAACGGTCTTGAGTCCGGACTCGAGTCCAAGACCGGACTCGAGTACTACAGCCCTGCCTGGCAGACCTTAAACTTAGCATGCAAATGAAGTATACAGTTATAGCAACCCACCCCTGACTCTAGAGCAGTGGTTCCCAAACCTTTCCTCACGGCACCCCAACACTGCACGTTTTCTTTATCTCCCTAATCAAACACACCTGATTCAACTCATCAGCTCATTATCACATGGGTTAATGAGCTGATGAGTTGAATCAGGTGTGTTTGATTAGGGAGATAAAGAAAATGTGCAGTGTTGGGGTGCCGTGAGGACAGGTTTGGCAACCACTGCTCTAGAGTGTCACCAGTCCTAATCCAATCAGCATAACTATTCAAAGAATGGGATCATCTTTACCATTAAATGCTAAATTCAATCTACTTACCTTAGTTTTTCATGTGATTTCTGTCAGAGCATAGGATCATCAGATCTTAAACAGATTCTTAAATGTGTAATCTTAACGTGTTCTTTATCAATCTCCCTCTTCAGGTGGCACAGGAGCGAGGCAGCAGGTGCCAAAGTCCCAGCCGGTGTCTGAGAACAGCAGTGCGGCTCACAGTATCGGCAGCACACAGAGCACGCCGTGTTCAAGCAGCAGTAACGCATAGAGCAGCTGGACCCAATGCTGCTTACATTGCTATTATGCTTCGTAGAAGAATACGTGATTAAGTAGCATACCTTGAGAACACAATGCCTAATTATTTTCACTATTTGAACTGAAATGTGTAGGCTGAATATGCAACCGGATGAAATAAGCTACGTTTAGAGGTGAGGGAAATAACTAAATCAAGATCCCAGACGGTTTTTAAATGTTGCTTTTTTCCCCCGTTGAACCCCACAAGAGAGTGTTGTTTTGCCTTATATGGTTGGAATCAGTGTGAAAATAACAAAGGCTGTTTACACCAGTCATTATGGCATGAAGGCGGTCCAGAGGAACAGTTAGTACTTTAAGGCGAGGTTACGCAAGGGTTCTGTCTGCTCCTAAACAATGATCAGTGCCTTTCCCCATCGAGCATACATACGATATTTAACAAGAGAAATATATTTAAAGATTTGAATGGTCAGTTTGTCCATATCTGACTTTTAATACCCAGATGCCAATTAATTCTACATTATGGCATATCGTTTTCTTTAAGACCATCCGTCTTCAGGAGTTTTTGGCATATTGTAAAATAATGTATATTCTGTGAATATTGTATGGAATGCATAGAGATTTAAAGTGGAAATAACTCCATTAAAAAAAGCTTTAACTAAAACCAAATGTTTATAGCTACATCATTAAGAAGATCAATTTAAAATGACACAATTATTCATAAAGGCTAATATAAATTAATTTACATATATACATGCATAAGCTCTTTCCCAGAATTGGCCTTTAAAAGATAGTTGCAAAATAATAAGACGGAGAATACAACTTAAATTATGATGTTCATTTTCCCTCCCATATTTTGTTGTTTGATAGCCACTATTAAAGTCTCTGTACAGATAATTACAGATAATAAGCATTTTATGAGTAAAAAATTGACTTATATATTTTATAGAAAGTTATTTTTAAATGCTGGGCATTATTATTCAACAGTAGTATAAAAGGTAATGATTTCAGCAAACAGTTATATTTTGGTATTTCATCCTTAACGTACTAAATCAAAACGAGTATTTGTTGAGAATGATTTAAACAGTCTCTTCGCAAAAGATGTACATAATCTGAGGCCAAAGAATGGGCTTTTACTTTCCAGTTTTTTTGGGTTACAGCAGGATCTGCGGTCTATATGTTTAGGTACTAACCTACCACTAAAGTCAACACAAAATCAACTTTTCTCAAAAATTAGTATTTTATTTCTGCTGTGTATGTGAAGTTATCATTTTGGGATTGTTTTAGAACATCCATACAGATACACTTGTGAAGTGCAAGAAATGTATGGATGCAAAGCCAGAGTAATCCCACCGTCAAAACTTTACATGAATGTCAATACATTATAAGTGCCTTAACTTTGAGTATATGCTTAATTTCAGATATAAAATGAGGCAAGAAGGGAAGTGGTGTTTGCTTTGCTTTAAGCACAGTATATACCCTCTGATGTGAAAATCTGCCAAACCTGTGCATCTAGTTGTTTGTTTGGTTGGTTGTTTTTAGTATCTAATGTTGCTTTTTTTTTTGGTCCGTGTTGCTTGCTACAGACTGTACCTATAGAATGTACTTTATTTCAAACCTTAGTTTCATTGTAAACATGTATAAATGTCTCCTGTAAGAGAAAAGAGAGTAAGAATTTAAACATTTATTTGTGTATAGTTGTATTTTTCCAGAGAGAGATATATATATATACATACATAGAGCCACCCTATAATTCTATCTGCATACTGTGAATTTTTGTGGGCATATTTCTCTAAGTTTTTGTGTGTTTTCTCTAAATCTAAACATAGTCCATAATGCTGAAGTGAGCTGCATTCACTTATATTCTCCTGACATAGTCATATAAAATAAGATTTTATTATAGATATATTTTTTATATGAGAACACTATATTATTTGGAACACAAAATATATTTTGATGACACAAATGTTTTTATCTCTCTTTTCAGCTCTTCACCATTTAAGTGTCTGCGTGTGTTTGGTCACACTATAGCTCTATGTAACCATGTATGTGGGTTTAAATGAATGTGTTTATGTATAGTCCTTGTTGTATTGTGTCTTTTGGGAATGTTTAAAACAATGCTGTCATGTCTAACAGAGTTTGAATCTCTATAGGTGTAATCAAGGGTCATTAAATGGCTGTAACAGAGGCCTTTTATCAAAAGGTCTTTCTCTCATTCCAGTAAACACTCTGTCTTGAGATAAACTTTTTTATTCTAAAATGTAAGTTCACACTGCTGTGTTTGACACAGTGGTTTTCCTGTACGTTGAATGGTGAAATTGATTGTGCTGTCTTTCTGTTTATCTACCTCATTTGAGTGTGTGTCTGTGTGTGTGTATAAGGTTTCATTATCTTGACATCAAGAATATGTTACTGTACATATCGTGTGGATCTTGATGTGACAGTTCACAACGAATCAGTCACCGGGCTTTCCGACAAAAGAGGAAAGTCTGAAATATGTAAATGTGAACCTATCAGAATTAGACTTCAACATTTTCAGGCTGTCTTGCTCTGAAACTACACACTATTCGTGAATATTTTGTATTTGTTTGTTTTTTTCTCCAATGGTATGTGAACCTTGTAGTGTTTGTAAATACAATGTGGTGTAAATATGCATGCTATATGTATGCTCTGTATATACCAAATAAATTCTTGTAATCTTTTGGGAGTTTGTTTGTGTGCTTATTTAAAAATATTCACTGGGCAACACATTTCTTCCAATAAGTGGGTCAATGAGAACATTTTATTGGGTACGTTTACACGACAACAATGTACTAAAAGCGTAAAAGTTTTTCTTTGCTTTTCCCTGTTTACACGGATCCGCGAAAATGACTAAAAGTGCTGTATTATTCATGCCAGGCCAGTAGTTGGCGATGATTTTGTTGTGTACATGGAGACGATTGAGGTACTCTCAGGCCCCCCAAACGCCATTGTTGTTTAAATGAGCGCCAAAACGCATAACAAGTTTTCCACTTTTAGTTGAAAATAGTGTCGTGTAAACTGCCCCTAAGTCAAAGTACATTGTTTTGTAAAAATCCTAAAATATAAAAAGCAATGGAAATAAAGCCAATTTAAATAATAATAATGGTCACACTTTAGATTAGGGTCCAATTCTCACTATTAACTAACTATTAACTATGACTTTTGCCTCAATAAACTCCTAATTACTGCTTATTAATAGGTAAGGTAGTTGTTAAAGGTGCTATATGTAACTTTTCTTCTAAAATGAATCCTTTTTTTATTGCCTGTGTGTGAATCACACATTACAATGATCACTTGTCGGGTTTTGCTATTACCTCTGAAGGCCAGTATTCCTATTTCTATGTGAAGTCTCCGGGTCGGATTTTCTGTGAAATCCATCGGATGTGACGTGCATGCGCGCTCCCGAGCCTCTGCCTCCAGCACAACACACACTCCAACACGAACTCCACATAAATATAAAAAACAAAACAAAAATGTATCTGCTGAAGCTCGTCAGGCCAAACGTGAATCGGATCGACTTAGGACGAAAACACGGATCAACATCGGCAGAGCGTTTGAATTATAGAGAGACCTCCTGAAGTTTTCAGATATGCTGAAATAAATAATGGTAAACTGTAATGAAATAGCAAGGTAAACTACAACATACATGAGATATGAAATGAACACAAAAGACTGTCCCAGGATAACAAAAAGTAGGTGCTTTAGGATGTAACTTTTATTTTATGTACTAGATCTACTGTCTAACGTCACTCACTACTACCATATTGTTTATAATACACATTTCCAAACACGTTCAGTACAGTAATGTTACTTCCTACGATCCTACTGTTACACTGAAATTGTTCAGTCTAGTCACTAACCGTTTTCGTTATCATATTATACATTCACCTATGTTGACATTGCTGCCTGATTGTGAAAGATACACGAATAGTAAGTGAAATGCCTTATGCTAACACCACATGTCGGCTAAATGCAGTCAATGTAACGTTATCATGGTACGAGCATGGAGCATTAGTTCAACGTCAAGCTGATAAAAGTAGCCTATTATTGTAACGTTGCAGTGGGAGTTTACATGAGTTTCCAGCATGTTGTGTGATGCTTTCTCCGGTGTGTTGAAAGTCTCAGTGTGGCCGGTACCATGAGTGCTCGCTCTTGTGTTCGAGCACGCGCAAGAGCACGAGCGCTCTTGTAAAAATTGGTTGCAATCTTAAACATCACCGATAGAGGCCGCTAAAAAATACATATAGCACTTTTAAATTTAGGTATTAGGATTATGAGATGTGGAATATGGTCATACAGAATAAAGCATTAATATGTGCTTTATAAGTACTAATAAACAGCCAATATCCTAGTAATATGCATGCTAATAAGCAAATAGTTAATAGTGAGAATTGAACCCTAAACTAAAGTGTTACAGAAAAGAAAAAAAACCCTGAGAGAAATGGAAAGTGGTGACATCATTTTAAACTGGCCAACACTGACCAGTGTGGGGCAATGGACATTCAGTATGACATCACCTTCCCAAGGAAAGTCTACTTGATCAACTGACTATGTCATTTATGGAAAGTTTCCATAAAGGTTCTTTTCCAGAGTAATATTACTTGTAATGTAATGTGTCAAATTGTTTATCAACTTTTCACAAAAAAAAAAAAAATTAGTAAAATCCTCCCAGATTAAAATGAGGATGATAAAATGATTACATCACAATAGATTCCAGGAAAGAAAAAGTACTAGGAGGGATTTAATCGATAATGGAACAGGCTTTTTGTCTTAAACAAGGATGACTCAATGTAGGTCATCAGAGTTTATTTTGGGTTTAGGTGATGTTTCAAAAGAGAGTGAGGTAAAGGGCTGACTTTGTGGTTGAGGCCCATTGTTGATATTCACAGTTGAACTACTTAAAATTGTCAAGTGGAACATATAAAGTGGAATATGAATAATGTACTGTATAAAGGCATAGAATGTGGCCTTGACCAGGATCTAACTACAGGAGTATAGTTTAAGTCTATGAAGCAAGATTTTATATTCCAAACTATATTTTTGATCCTTATCTAAACTCCATACCGCTTTAAACATAGTTTTAAAAAATAAAACGTATTAGCCTTTATGTGTGGTCTGGCTAACGAACAGTAATAACATTTCACAAATATGAAATTAATTTAACTCATTTTTTAGCAAGCAAATAAGGTGCTGCATTATGAGCATTTTCTTTGAATATCACTTTGGGTTCTTTGTTGCATTGATGGTCCCATAAATAAAGAAATTATTATGGTTTAGTTTACAGTTTGACACCTGCACCTGAGATTCTATAAACCCTTGGCAAAGACTTTACATGCTGAAATCTCCACAGATGTGTGGTAGGGTCTCAGTTCAGTCCCACTCCAACAGCTGGCCAATTTGCCACATGAGAGTTTAAATATACAGCATTAAATATGGCAATATCAATAAAAAGCATTTAATTTTGCTGAGTCGCCAACTCTATTTTGATGACAGCACTGGGGTGGCTGTATATTTAGCCACAGAGGGAGAAGGAGCTCAGTATTTATGGCTGGAAACACTGGAGAGTCTCCAGCGCTGAAATGTATAGCCATAAAATTATACCAAATATAATGAAACTGCTCTGTCATGATTGTGTGCCAACACAAACCAA